TTTGTATCAAATTTTGCTGAACTTCTTCGTGTACAAGAGTGAAAGTCTTGCTGCTTATTTATATTGGTTATGAATGAGTGATAAATGAGTCATTTAATTTAAACAATATCTAAGCAACCACATGGCCTATGGACTATGTATGGTATTTTCAAAAGTTTGATTTTGTGTGAAGATTACATTATACTTATTTGTACAACACTTTTATTTATAACTGACAAAATTTTCAAATCTGATTGGCTATCAACTGTCCTGATTTAAGCATTAATACGACAGTGAAATAGTACAGTATGTGTCATGCCTAAGTAATTGGACAGTACGTACCATCACGTGCACACTTGAATGGGTTGTTTTTTAACTTCTAGAATTTAAATACTCTTGGAATAATAACAGAACTTTTAGTGTCATCCAATTCGGTCTGTAATCATACTTGTGTTTAAACAAATTGGACTTCCACTACGCAATCGTCAGATTTTGTGTTTATTATGCCCACTGTAAGAAGTTCAGAGAAAGCATTTTAATTTCTGAGCTATGAATAAAAATGTTTCCATTTTTTCATAAAATGTTGTTGTTGTTGTACAATTTTAACAAAATGTTATAACAGTTAGAGTATTATTATCCATTCAAGATAATTCACCATTTCTGATGGGCTCAAATCCTCCAGCTAATTCTTCATAATTCTTCATTGACCAAATTTTGAAGATGCAGGCATTATATGCAGTCTGTGAGCGGGGGCAAAAAAAGCGAGTGCAGAAGGAAAGAGGGAGGCGGAGAGAGGGCAGGAAAGCCTTGAGTAGTTTTTCTCTGGTAATCTCTCTTCCAGTTCTTGCCTGTTCTTCTGTTTTATTCCCTCTCTTTTTGTTTTTCCACGCTAACAGGGTTGGTGACAGGATTTACCGGGGGCACTGCTTCAGTTCATATCTGGCTTTCTTTTTCTCCCTCTCTTCACTTCTGCCTCTGCCTTGTCCCTAGTAGCCCAGGATCAATTTTGGGGGGACATTTTTGTGTAAATTATAAGGAAAGCGGTGGTGAAAGGAGTGAAGCAATGTTCCTTTGTCTCTGTTTCTTCCCATCACTCTCTGTACGTGATCTGTACTCGTTCCCATCATACCCTTCTTGCCACTCTCACTTGTTCCGAACACTAAACCTTGGGAAAGCACATGGAGAGGGTAGTCTCTGCCTTATGATAATGATTATAAGTTATCCTGCCCTGAGTACAACCATGGATGTTGAACCTGTCCTAAGGCAACCAATCTACGCAGCAATAGACCTCTTAAGCTTGTATGTTTTGTTTTCCGAATACAGGTCATGTGATAATACTCTAGAGAAGTTTCTTTCAAATTTCGTTTTATTCATGGGCATATGTACGCATAATTTATGAAAAGACAAAGGGTCAAGTTCCCTTGGGACCTCTAGTGGGAAACAAAACATACAAGCTAAAGAGGTCTATAGTCATGGTTGTCCTGTTGAAGCCTAGCCTGTGAAAACACCCATTTCTCCTCCTTTCTCACCACTTAGGACATTTCCCAAGTAGAGACTTCTGTGCCTCAGTGACAGAAGTTCCATACTGATGACGTAAATTCTGTCCAGAATCTGGTCAGGAGCTCTGATTTGGGTTGAAATCGTAGTTACATTGTTTTAGCTATTGTTTACTAATGACGGACAAAAGCCAAATACCATTAAGTTCAAATGTAAACGCGATTAGTCTATTACAAAACAGTCAATAATCATGGAATATATTCTTGAGAGGAAGCATTTGAGTTTTGCAGGAGCTCGTTCATAAATGAACACAAAACTTTATCAATATCGACCAGGAGAAACATAAAATCTAGCAAATTTGCATTTAGAACCCCATGACTTAGAGGATTAACTACGTAAGCAGAGATTAACATCATCAGTATGGAAATAATAATGTTAATTATATTAATTATAAATTCATTACTTGAAAAATGAATCAGTTAGTCGTTCCCATAACTAGCATCAAATTCAAATCAGCATGACTGCATGCGTAAGGAGCAGGGAATATTTTACAAGAACTTCTCTGTATTTGGTCAGATTGGAAACCTTAAAATGGATAAAATTGCTTCAAAGACATTTTAAATCAATTGAGGGAAACTGAGCTGGTGGAAATTTCATAACTGCCTGGTGTGTGAATTCAAGGCTCATTACGCATGCAGGAATACAGAGATGAATCTGAAATCTACAACTCCCAACTGATTCAACTTCTGAATAATAAATTCATTAATGACATCTTGGGGGGTATGCTTGACCTGACTGGACTGTAAGCCTCAATATCCACTAACAAATTCTCCATTCTGACTTCCATACTTTTCCTTAAAGAATCAGTCAAGAGAATTTGTTAACCAGTGAAGCAATTTTCCTTTGGTGGTCAATTAACTCTCGGGACTTTTTCGCCCTGGGGGGGTACTTCCTTGTAAAAGGCTAATATGGATGTGCTGCTGGATGGGGTTGCATTTTCACGTCTGTAGTGACTATAATAGGGTCACATTTTCAATACAATTACTAGAATGGGGACGCACATTTTCTGATTTTTGGACTGTACGTGAGAAGTAAAGTGTTCTTCATTCATCATAAGGCAGATACATAAAAAGAAAGTGACTAAGTTGGGATCGCGAAAATTTCATATTTGCCCAAAAGTGACTAAGATGGGGTCTATAATTAGCCACAGAATAGACTATAATGGGGTAGGGGATCTGAGAGGCCAGTGGCACATACCCAGCGAAAGTTAACCCAAGTACCCCCCCCGCCCCCCCCCAGGTTTTCCTCTCATTCATGTTATTGTTAGGAGAAAGAAAATTGATGTTGGTTACTCATTGGACTTAACAGGATAATAACACATCAGTGATTGCTGGATCCATGTAACTTCATCTGTTTTATTATTATATTCTTTTTAAAAAATAATGTTTCCTTGATCATGGACAAAAATTTCTGAAAACAGTTTATCATGGTGATGGCAACTTCTTGCAAAATGAAAGCCAGAAGCAACACTCAGACCCAAACAGGATAATACAATTATTTAAATTTGAATACCAAATGACAATCTGTGAAACAGATAGTTCAAACAACATGCAACATCGACTTGAGTCCTGCTTCATGAGCAACCAAACAGTATCTTTAACACAATATATCTCATACTAGAACAATGAGTACCAAATCAGGGAGCCATTGGGGTTTTAGTGGCAAAAGCCACTTTTGAAACAATAAACTTACCCTATTATTATTAGTTTCCATTTTGGATGAGAAAATTTGCATTTCATGTTCTCCTTATTTTCAGATTATAATGAAAAAGAGAAGTATGTTTATAAGGTTTTTAAATAAGCTTTTGTTTGCAGTTCTGCTTGGCAAGTCCAATCTTTAAAAGCAGTGGTGGATCCAGGGGAGAGGCCCTGGGCCCCCCTATTTCTAGACCAAACTGGGCCGAAAAAATTTTTTTTGATCCTCCCCTCCCCCTCCTCATCTCAGGGTCTGGATGACCGCCCTCTCCACCACTGAAAAGGTATGTTTGAAATCAGTTTAAAACATGATTATCTATGAGATCTTTTACAACCAGTTGCTGTGGTCTATTTTGCTCATTGATCATATTTTGGGTCTACTCTTTTTTCAAACTTTTTCGCTGATGTTTAACTCCTGTGAATTGGTTCTTGTACTGGCTACATATTACTGGTCATATTCAGGAATGTAGGCAACTTTACAAAATAATAACAACAAAACAGTAAGTGTCACATGTTATTTTAAATAATCAAGTTTATAAATGTCAGCCAATGCAAGATGTGGATGCCTTCCGACGATTTCTTGGCTAAAATAGTAAACGAAGCCATTGTTTGTTTACTTACCGCTTCCGCGGTTCGCGCGCACTGTTTTTTAAATCTCGGCGCCAGTCTGACGTAACCTTGGAATCCAAAAATTTCTGAAATGGAATCCACGTGGCAATTTCGTAATGGACAAATGTCCGAGAAAAGGATATATAACATACATCTATTTTTAAGCTTCTTTTACGTAAAAATAAAGACGTTAAATATTGCCTTAAAACTCTGTGAGGCTCTTATAGATATATAAATATTTTTTAGTGTTTCTACCGCGTAATGCTTATGCCGTTGATACCATTGGTTCCAAGTTCTTTTGCCCTTTTGGTGGCCTCATAGACAGCTTTGATAAGGGATCCGCGAAAGCCACTCTCTTCAAGGGCTTGTATGCCAGCGATTGTCGATCCTCCGGCCGAACAGACAGCGTCTTTAAGTTCTCCTGGATGTTGCCCACTTTCTAGCACCATCCTAGCAGCTCCGGCGGCCGTTTTCGCCGCCAATTTCATCGCTTCTTGACGGTTTAGTCCAACACGAACAGCGCCATCAGCAAGTGCTTCTATAGCAAGGTACACGTAAGCGGGTCCGCCACCAGTTAGCGCGGTCATAACATCCATTAACTCTTCATCCACGTCAAAGCAATAGCCAACCGAGGACATGAGCTGATGCATCAAAGCGTAATCTTCATCGGTGGCGAATTTACCGAAAGTCACGGCAGTAACTCCTTCGCGAAATTGCACTGGGGTGTTTAACATCATGCGAACCGCTCGACTTCTGCCAGGCAACGATCTTTGCATAAAATCCAGTGTAACTCCAGCGGCGATAGAGGCAACCAGGTGATTTCTTGTCGATACAGGAGAAATTTCCTTCAAAACTTCGGGGAAAACTTTCGCTTTTATCGCTAGAAAAATTAAATTACTCTCCTTCATTACTTGTTTGTTGTCGTTCGTCACGTTACATCCCATAAGCTGAAATTGTTTCAAGTCTCTTTCCGAGGGGGCGCTCGCAAAAATTTCATCGGGCTTAATAACACCGGCAGACAAAAACCCTTTCGCTAAAACTTGGGCAGCCTTTCCACCGCCAATAAAACCTAACCGCGAAATTAGACTCATGTTTCGCAAGACAATCCTTGATAATCTTGCTGGTGAGATAAAAGACTAGTAAAAATTCACTAGTCACCTGTACATATACAGTCTTCATTGACCAATCAGAACGAGGTTCTAGAAATCGGTCAAAGGTTGGGAAGTCGTAAGCGGTAATTGCGTTACAAAGACAAAAATGACCTCTTTTTTTTTAAAAAAATTTGCTGTTTACTGGTCCATGTACAAAGCCTTTTCAAAGAATCCATTAGAGTATTAGTTTGGATTGTAATGACTGCGTTGTCTATCAATATAAATGCGAATTAATGCAGATCTGCACTTGTGCAGCTTTGATTGCGTGCTTGTAGTTTTTAGACACGTGCCGTTTCCCAGTGATTTTACTAGTTTGGTTGGAATATTACGCTGGCTGGGAAAACTACTACTTGTAAACGGGACCGGTTCTATAAGAATCAAGGCTCGATTTAAATGATAATTGCAATAGTTGTACCTGTCTCAGCTCATGTAATCGGGGTGTTCAAATGTACATTTTAATGTGCTTACGGGTTTGCACGAGATTGCGAGCATGCATGCAGCTCGTATAGTCAGTCGAGCAAGCGTGACGCACGAGAGTAGCCCTCTCTTCTCGCGTTGCGTGTGTTCGTCTTTGTTACTTTTTTACGTGTCTTTTCTTTGTGAAGTGGTTTTTTGGTAGTTACAAGCTCCTCATGGACTTTGTTATAAAATGAAGGCGTTCTCTGCTTTACTCTTTTTTTCTTCACTTTTTGAAGTGACGTAAAAGAAGAATGGAAGCAATGTGAGATATTGTTTCTTTATTCACGGTCCCCTAAACCTCGGTCAGTGTAAAACGTAGACACCATGCAAATTTATTATAACTTTTCACTCGCCTTTGAAGTGCGGAAGTCTTAAACCTTAAAAAATTGTTTCTCAAAGATCAATATCCCTATTTTGATTTTAGCACTTCATTAGCAAACGCCCATTTAAAGTGATGGTTTAGCCTTAAGTAACCTTATCAAAATGGTGTGTCTGTTAATGAACGTTGAAGACAATGCTTTATTTAATACTCTCCGACCGGGTGGAGTTTAACAAAGTTTTGCACAGAAAGGCTCCGCCACTAGGCGGGGTTTAACCCTTTGACGCCCCAAGGAAGGGAAACTGGACATTTTGTGACCATGCAGTCTCCACGAGCTAATAGAGATGTACGTGACGGCATCTGCAAGACCAAGAAACAAGAACAATTAAAAATTTCTCTCTTGAAAAACCACATTTTCCTTCGAATTTGTCTGAAAAATTTAAACTTGATCTGCTTTTGCATGTATTCCTAGGCTAGTTTTTTCGTTTTCGTCTCCCGTGATTTCTTCTACTGATAATTCGTCCTCAGCTTCCATGACTTCAGGAAACGTAGGAAGACCCACATAAGATGATATGACGCAGATTCAACGCTGAGTGGTCAGAGGTAGGATGTTCTTTTTTTTTGCTAAAAAGATAAGTATATATCATATTTATATTGACTATTTAAGACTGTTTTTAACGGAGGCTAAAATGTTCACAGCTATTAACAGTATTAATAAAGGCTCATTACCAACTTTCTCCTCATAAGATCGGTGTATGGGCCATTAGCATGAGAAGGTGCGGCGGTGAGCCGTTTCATTGGAGCACCATTTATAAATAATAGTAAATAGATATTTATGTTATTTTACGTCACATTATTGATCTACCATACTGTTATCCTAGTTAGATCTTCTGAAATAAAATCTCCAATAAAATATATTGGACCTTAGAACGACAAAGAAGGTTCATGAAGGTTTAATTGGTGTCTGGAGTGTAAACAACAGGAATGCGAAAAACCAATTTAAAAACTCACGATCCGACTTCCCGCATCGTTTGGCCTTTGCACAATTAACCTGTTCAGTCAAGAGTTAAGAGAAAAACGCAGTCTATACGCTCATGCCCAGAAACTACGTAAGTTGAGTCATGGGCAAGCTTTAGAAATGATCTTGAATTTCGGTATACGTATGGTAGCAAAAATCGAAAATGCGAGTTAAGGATTTTGGGGCGATAAATGTTTTTGTCTACCAACGGGGGCAATTAAGCCTGATGAAGTTTTACACGTTGTCTTGCCTCCCTTTTATTTGAAGATGATCTTGATAAACTCTCACACACAATTACCCGGTTTATGATTCTGTTGGTAATACGTACTGCATTTCCCGGCAAGCAAGGCAAGAAACTCTCTGCTATAACTCTGCTGAAGTCAGTTTTATGTGGTGCTTCTGTAAATCACCTTTGCATGATGTCAAATAAGGTGTGCTCCGCAAAACTCACAAATGGATCAACGGCTATGGTGAGGGATGGCATAAATTCTCAAAAGTCTGTTTCCAACACTGCAAACAGTGTAAAATGTGAGGTTAGGCAGTGCTTTTTAACGAGTCAAATAACGGTCAAATATAGTCCCAATAGATTAACCTGTTCCAGGCCAGGAGCCGATTACTCAGGGGCACCCAACGGCAATTTTCGGGAAAATATCTGTTCGGAAGACGATTTGAGATCTAGAATTTTCGGAGCATTTGTTGTAAAATTTCTTGCTTGCCTGCCTCTCCTAGGATTTTCGAGCATCTACAAAATGGTATAATTACCCATTTTTAACGGATTTTGACCCTAAAAAAGGCCACCTAGAATTTTCGGGAGCCTTTTCCTGGCTGAAGTTTTCGAGAAGGTAAGTTTTTATCCCTATAATTTTCGGATCACTAGTCTTTCAGCTAGGAAATCCGAACAGATGAAAAGTTTTTAGGGGATAAAAATATGCCTTTATCTACTGTTTGAATACTAAACTACGTTCAACAATGCTATGTTAAGTGGTTTTGAACTATATCCTCGTTGGGTGCCCCTGATTACTCAGTACTCGGCTCCTGTCCAGGCTCCAAGATACTCTAAGACACGTATATATTAAACTGTAATGACCTTCCTTCACATAACTGTTCACTCATGATTTTCATCATCATGCTTTCACGGGATTATAACGAACCAATTCAAAGACCTACTCCCAGTTGGCTTGTTAATTGGTAGCGCGCCGGTATCGCAGAGCGTTTAGGGTTGTTCGAATCCCGTACAAGCCTGAATTTTTTTCAGTCTTTCTTTTCGCAACTGCAAAAGTTGTGTATATAACTGCGATAATCTTCCTTCATATAATTGTTCACTCCGCAGTTCACACATATGATTTTCAAATATTCATAATTTTCAAGATACTCAAAAGTGGCACGAAAACCGCGGGCGAGCTGGAGAGAGAGAGAGAGAGAGCGTTTTTCGCTTTTTCGCCTTTTTTCACTGCTCGCTCGCTTGGTTTGCTCGTCTACACTGACCGCGAGCCTTGTACAGGCTACTATACTTTGGAAATTTCTTGCAACGAAGAAACGTTTCACATGACACTAATAATTCGGTCTCCAGTCCACAGAGTTTTTGTTGTACAACTCCACATGCATGACCGCAGTTTCATTGTTTTGGTACATCAATTAGAGAAGTACTTCATATAAACCGAACTTTTGCATCATCTTTTATCGGTTTCAGTGGCATGAACTGCAAAATACCAAGATAATCTATAAGTGTTCCTCAGAGCTTTGTGCTTGTCTGGGACGTCGATATACACAAGAAAAAAGTCATGTGACCTAATTTGCATATTTTGTGCCAGCCAAAACATGGTTCAAAATGCAGGAGGGTTGACTTTTTAGTTCAAATGGACTTCACAGCGGACTGGCGGATCTTTTCAATTCATTATTCCCGAAAAAGTCGAAAAAGGAGACCAGGGGCTGGGGGCACCTATTATTCTAACTAAACTCACTGGCCAGGAGCCCATCAATGGTGATGGTGATGGGCTCCTGCACTGGCGGATCCAGGGTAGCCCCCCCTTATTTTTAGACCAAACCAGGAGGAGTAATCGGCTCCGGACCAAACTGAGGACCGAAGGGCGGAAAAAATTGTTTTTGAGACCGAGCCGCCCCAGCCTTATCTTAGGGTCTGGATGACCTTTCCCGTTCACCCCACCCCCCCCCCCCCCGCCCCGCCGACCCCAGACCCCACACTGCCGTCACCCGTCACATAGTACATTCATACCCACCCGGGCGGA